TACGGATTTTTACGCTGAGCAAAAAGCTGCCACATCCCAGTCTGCATTTTCTCCAACTGCCCCTCAAGCTGGGCCCCAGGGGTTTTGTTTGTTTCTGTCTGTTTGGATAGCCTAAGTCTCTCTCTGTACAGTCTTGTCCAATGCTCACAACAGCTCTAAGTAAAAGAGCTGATCCATTATTTGTTCCATTTTTTAGATAAAGAAACGAAGTTACAATATGGGGATTATAGCTAATAATACCGTATCATATCCTTGAATGTTGCTAAGAGAGAAGGTCTTAAATGCTTTCACCACACACACACACGTACACAAATGGTAACTGTGTGGAGGAATGAGGTGGCAGCTAACTACAGTGATAATCATTTTGCAACATACAAATTTATCAAATCAACACATTATGTACCTTAAACTTACGCAATGTTATGTTTCAATTATATTTCAATAAAGCTGGGGGAAAATAAACCAATTGACAGCCCTTACTCCCAAAAAAGATGAAATTAAGGCACAAACAGCTCATGCAACACTCGTCCCTACATGGTGGAGGCTGGATTCAAATCCTGACCACAATTCCAAATCTGCAGGCACAGAGTCTCTGTACTGTCCTCTGCCCACCCTTACCCTATGGCTGGGGCTTAACCCCTCATTCTGCAGTTAGACCTGGGTTTGTATTCTGTCTCTGCAGGGTGACCTAAGACATGGGGTAACCTCACTGAGCCCCATCTGTAAAAGGGAGGGATAATACTGACCTGATAGGGGCTTATGTAAAGATTCGAACAAGTATCTTTGGGGTGTTTAACTAGGGTCCTGGGTTCATAGATGGGAGGTCGTGGGTTCGCGCATGGGCTCCCACTGATGGTGGGTTCAAGGTGTTTGGTGAAACCTTGAAAATCATTCTACAAATGTCCCAAGTATATGCCTTCTGAGGGGAGGGAGTAGGATGTAGTTTTCAACAGTTTGTCAAAGGGATTCACAGCCCAGAAAAAAGTTAAAAATATCTAAAGGGGTGTTAATAAGGTGATGATCAGCACCTGGACAAAGTCAACAATTGCTAAGTCCTATTAACATTGTGTTTGTGGTCTCTCTATGCCCTTGGGCCTGGGAAGCCAGGGGCATGCCAGGCAGCAGAGCATTTCTAAAGCCCCCTCTCCACTCCCAGCCTGCAATGAGGCATCTGGGAGAGTAAAATGCAGTGATAGGCTGTCCCTGTGGGTAGAGAGGAAAGATGAAGAGGTGTTTCCTTAACATCATTGACTGACCCAGGCCAGGTCCTCACTGGGCCGGTTTCCCCACCTCAAAAATGTTAAGGTCAGGCTTGGACCTCTCGGGGCATCTGAAAAGCTGAGAGCTTAGTCCTTGGGCACATGGAGAAGCACGCTTGCTATGGCTGTAGTTTTCCCTGGAATTGACGGAGGTTCCCCCCAAAATACGGAGCTGGGAACTCATTCCTCCTCCCTTTCCTCTCACACTCCCACCTTTATCTCCTGCCTGGGTGGAGATGAGGGGCTGGGGGAGAGCCTCCATCTGCCACATTCCTGAGGCTCGAAGGCCAACTGGGCTCCCTTTCCATGGGCAAGGTAACTAACTGCTGTCCTTCAAATGGAAAGTGCTATTCGCTCTCAGAACCTGAGGGGTAAGTGGAGGCCAAGTGGGGGCTGACTCCACACTCCTTGCCCAGAAGGCAGAAGCTCCTTCACCCCAAAACACACATGGGCCCCTAAGGGAACCAGTGAGAGACAAGGATGTGCAGGAGGGAGGAAGCACGGTTTGGGGGTTAGCCAAGATAAAATCTGCAGCCCCTCGGAACTGGAGAGGACTTCAGAGGGAAGAGGGCTACTGGATAAAGCCTCGCCACCCCCCCCCACCCCCCCCACAACATCATGCTCTATAGAGACCCTTCACTTTGGAGGTGCCCGGTCAGTGAAGGAAGACCGAGAGAAAGGAAAGCGTTCCTATCACTTTCTGGGATCCGTGGAGAGTGCCGCACCCCTGGCTGGCTTGCGAGCGGGCAACCTCCCCCACTCTCTTCTCTAAAGGCCAGATGTGCTCCCAGCAGCTGGCGGTAGCGACCCCTTCTCGGGAACTTCCCTCCCGGCGCTGCCGGGGCCTCCTTGCCTGCAGCTGCCGTTTGGCGGGCAAGGGGGGGGGCGGGAGGAAGTGATGGATGAAGAGAATGTGAGAACGCGGGTGTGCGTGGACGTGCACGCGCGCGTGGAGTGGCCGTGAGTGCGATTGCGTGTGCATGTGCTGCTGGCTGTGCGTGGGCGAATGCGCAGTGCACAAGTGTATGCACGTAACCGAAAGTGTGTCATCAGCGGTGGGCAGGCCTGTGGGTCGGTGAGAGGGCGGGGGGCACCTGAGCTGTGTGCGGGGGTGTTCGCTTCGGGGACGATGTATTAGAGGCGATGCACAGTGCTCAAGGCGTCTGTGGTCTGTGGACGCTGGCTAGGCTGTGTGAAGTAAGGATGGGTCTGCCAGTGCGAGTCTACCTGTGCGAAGACACAACCACACACAACGCAATCACGTCCCGCACTCACCCTTTCCCTAGGCGGGCTGGGCCGGGAAGCCAGGCGGAAGCGCAGCGCAGGGAAGGTGACGCTAGTCTCCGCGAGCGCGGCTCCGCCGAAGGCAGCGATAGCCGAGCAGACAACGCCAGCCAGCCGGCAAGCCCCCCAGCTCCTCGCAAGGACGTGCCAGGCGCCCCAGTGGCGACGAGGTGTCTACCACCGAGGCTGGCGGCTAGTGAACGAGGAAGGGGATCAGCAGGAGACAAGGAAGCCAGAGAAACGCAAGATGCCTGTGAGCTTTGAAAAGCGCTGCGGGCCTCTCTCCGAGCCCGGCACGCACCTCTCAACCAAGCTCGCGCCTGGGCAAGGTGTCTTGACTTCTCACGATGACCCGCAAAAACACTCTTCGCCTCCCTTCAGCCGACCCAAAGCCCTAGCGGCGGGGCGCGGCCAGGCTTGGTGCCCCGCAGCCTGCGCGCAAACAGCACTCACCTGGGTCCCTGCTTGCCGCGTTGCGCCCAGCTCCTGCACGGTCCTGCGCTCGGTGCCATCCCACCCCAGTCCTAGTCCACTCCCCAGTGCTATGAGGTTGGTGGGGGCAGGGGGAGCGTGCGTGTGAGCCCTCCGCTGCGGGCGGCTAGGCACGTGAGGGCCGCCGGAGACCGCGCTCCCCACCCGCGCAGACTGCTTTCCGGAACCTGGCCTGGCGCGCAGAGTCAGAGGCGGCGGCAGGCCGAGCCCACAGGGGCATTAGGCCAACACCACCAACCCCCACCCCCGCCCGCGCACGCGGCATTCTCTATTATTATTATTAAAGAATCCCTCAGAACATGTTTACATTGAGCCGTATAAACTTCCTGCCAGGGCCTTTACCATCTAGAAGAAATCGGAACCTGCTCTTGGAAAATGGGGACACCGGCGCTGCAGGGCCAAATAGGCGGGTTTTCAGTGAGTGTGTGTGTGTGTGTGTGTGTGCGCGCGCGGGAGGGGGGTGGTCAACTGAGCTAAGTGTGGGTTCAGATCTGAGCTTGGCTAATGTACACGTGAGTGAGAGCTGGTGCAAATTTAAGCTCCTATGCATCTATTGTGTGTGCGTGAGTGAGCGCACGAGTGGGCGCGCACATGTATGAGCACCGTGGGCGTGCGTGGAAACGCACTCATGGGTGTGAGTTTGCATGTCTGAGTCTAGTAACTTCGCAGGTTTGCATGTGCATCACTGTATGCATACGTGTGCATGAGTGCACGAGTTCATGAGTGAGTGAATGAGCGGGGCCGCTTGTCCCAGGACCTGTACGGTTTTGGTTCCCCAGGGCCAGCCCTCCTCACTCGCTCCCGCTCGGCCCGCGGCGCCGCAGACAAAGCTGCAGCGACCTGCCCTGCGCTTTCGTTTTTCGCCCGCGCTCGGCTCCGGCAGCTGCCCGCTCGCTCGCGAGCTGCTGGGCGAGTCCGAAAAGTCCCGAGCGCGGCGTAGTTCTTCCCGGGGCGGGGAGAGTGGGGAGGCGGTCCCTCGCGGGAACTTACGCCCGCTGGCCGGGGAGACCCGTGGCCGAGCCGGGTGTGCCCGCGATGGACACGACCTGGCGGCCGTTGCCGCCGCTGCAGTTGCGATTTGCCACTGGTCTGCATTCGTCTGGGAAGGCCCGGGACCCGGGGTGCGTTTCCCGCCGCGCGGCCGGGGCTGGAAAGGCGGGGGCCTGCGCACAGCGGGGCTGAACCGTGGGCCGAGGGCGCATTAACACTTGCTCGCCAGGTTGGTGGAGGCGGGGCGGGTTCTGCCAGCGGCCGCGGGGCGGGGAGGGTGGGGGCCCTTTAAGCGCCCACCAACGCGGAGGCCCGAGGGGGGCAGGGAGGGGAGGGAACTCCTGGAGGGTCTTACGCCGGCCGAGGAGACGCCGCCGAGAGAAGATGCAGTGAGGGCGGCCTCCGCAGGACTCGTGGAGCCGAGCACTGCGGGTGGTGGGGACCAAGCGCTGCTCCCCATAGGGGCTCACTGCTGCAGGCCCTGGAGGTGGTGCCTCTCCCATCCCAAAAAGCAGTGTGTAGCGGGGTGGTGAGGGGGCTTCCTCGCAGCCTCCGCCCAGGCTGCAAAGGGGCTGCCCTCAGCCTTCGCTCGGCTCCTTCCCTTGTGGGAGGGCGAGAGAGAAAGAGGGAGGAGAGAGAGGTGGGG